AAAAAAAGCAAGGCATCTTAGTGAAATATAAAACTCATATACGCAAACCAAGTACGGAATAACTAACAATAAGTACACTGCACCAGCAAAACGCTACCATGGTAAAAAACCATTTCTTCACTAGCATTCATATCATACTAACTTTTTTTCAGCCTGGTTGACTTTTAAACTTGGAAGATAGGCGTGTAACTCATTCCTTACAAAACTTTGTTAGCTGTATCGGAAAAATATGAAACGGGGAGATATGAAGTTCTGAGATTCGTTTACTCTGTCATAGTAAGTTGTAGAAGTCTTGAGGATTAACTGTTTGTTTAAAAGGATTTCCAGGTAAAGTAAAATGGAATATTATTCTGACTTAGCACTGGGTAATCTAGAGATATGTACGTATATAATGTAGGATACATCGAATACATAAACTTCTTAATGTAGCACTAAAAGGCTCTTCTAATCTTAGGCTAGGTATGTATAATTGCCTAATGTGTGTGTAATTTTTTTTTTAAACATAATTTTTTTTTATGGCATAAGCCGGTAAACGAGCAGACGGATCACCTGATGGTAAGCAATCGGCGTCGCCCATGGACACCTGGAACACCAGAGGCGTTACAAGTGCGTTACCGGCCTTTTGGGGATTAAGAGTTTGAGAATCGTTGGAGATTAAGGAATTGGGGAGATTGGGGAAGGGGAGGGTAATTGGGCCTCCGGTAACCTCACTCACACGACGAAACACAACGCAAGCGTTGCTTCACGTCGGTTTTCTGTGAGGCCGTGGTATCACTACGGTCGAGCCGGCCCATTCGTGCCGAAGCATGGCTCTCCCACACTTACAATGTCGAATATAAAGAAACCAAGGAAAACTATTTATTACGCCACGACACAGACGTAGAAAAGAATACAGGTTCACACACAAAAGCCCATGGTCGCAGCGCAATATGTGTACATTCTCTATACATTCTTCGAATGAATCCAAAACATTTACATATGTTCAGCGGTTGTAATAGGTATGTGCAGTGATAATAAACAACAACTGCCTCGTTGGCCGAGTGGTCGCAAGTGCGACTGCCGGGCAAAGGATCTCGGGTTCGATTCCCGGGTCGGGCAAAGTGTTACTGGGTTTTTAAACATTTTCAGTAGTAGCACGGAGTCTGTAATTGTGCCCGATATATGGCAATAGGCTCACCCCCTATTACATGGGACTCATAACATAAATAGTGAAAAGTGAGTGTTACATTGTACAGTGGCATATTGTACACCTCTGCCTACCCCTTCGGGGATAAAGGCGTGATGTTATGTTGTTATGTTAATCAACAATAAACTGGACATCAAACATTACGTTTTGTTATACTGAGTAACTTTAAAAACAACCTTAAAATGTAACGTTGAAAAGTTCAGATTACGTCACTCACCAAAATCAAAACTCAACCCCAATCGTAACACTGCAATTTTAAATTTAATACTATCCGTTTTTAGCTGACAGCGCTGCAAAGGTAAAATTATTCATAATTTTAAAAGCTTCTACTTCAATCTTAATTAAAATCCGTTACAAAAATATGCGAATTAATTTTAGTTCCTAACTCCATACATTAAACTGAGTGATGTGCCCAAACGAAGTGAAACAAAGTCCATTTGAGTAAGTCACAATAGGCTTTTAAACTGGTAACGGTCGGTCTAAACTGGATGATACTGGAATTAGTTGGACGGTGCCGGTTAAGCGAGTTCCATTTGGTGAGGTTGCATCTTATCCGATTTGAATTTAGCTTTGATGAACGTTGGTTGAGTTTTAAGTAGAATCTGTCTTACGTTGTTTATTCCTAGTTTTCCGAAGTTTAACAAGCTATATAAGGAAGTATTTAAATGTAACTGCAATTGGGCAAACACTTCATGCATTGATGTAGTCAATAAGTTAATTTCTTTGTGTTGTGTGTATACGTAAACATTATTGTAATTAACTATTATGGAAAATCAATTTCCCTGTGTTTTAACTCGTTGAGTATCGTCATTATAGACACAATTATAGAACAATAGGTTGCGGTCACCGGTGACCGCTTGGTGTTTGACAGTTTAAATGCCATTTGGGAATTACACTTAAACTGTCAAATACCAAGCGGTCACCGGTGACCGCAACCTATTGTTCTATAATTGTGTCTGCAAAACCGGTACTCGACGAGTTAAAGGTAGGTTAGCCATTTTTTGGACGACTCTTAATCTTACAAGTGTTTTAGGAATTATGATTACCGCTTTTTAACTGATCATACAATCAAACGTACAGATTTTCAATACACCACCAGACATAAAAGGAACAAAGCCTAAAAGGAACCTTATTAAAAAGTAACTCTCAACTCAATATCGGTACAGCGCAAACTTGCGCAGAAATGTAAACAAAAACAAAAGTATCATGAATCAAGTTCAATTCGTTTGAAGCGAACAAATAAAAGGTTGATTCTCGTAACCGTACATAAATAAAACAAGTGCAAGGGCATTCGATTCGCTAAATAGATGATAAGTACCGGCAGCCAATGTTGACGCGGGACGATTTGCATCTTTCTCTAGAGTATAAAGGGGGACAAAGATGGAAGGTGTTGCCGCGAAATCGGGCTGTTTAGGCAATTCCTGGCCTGTGTCTGCTTTTATGTTTGTGGAATAACTTATCCCTTTATTTACCTCTTTGTTCGAGGGCCAGTAAACAAGGGTTTTTGCCCTTTGCTGAGAAAGCACTGATAAAGGTGGGTCTGTATTTCGGGTCAACGATTGGCTTACTAAACATGGATTTTCTCCTTTTTTGCGTATACATCAAGATTTCAAGTTTTATTTGGGTGGAGCCTAGGTGTGGTATGTTTTGTAGGTAGTGTGGGATTTGATTTATTTGCGCATTGTTCCGTAACTTCTACAGATATATAGAATTTGTAGTTGCAATGTAGTAATATTACTTACAGAAATGCATCAAGAGTTAACGCTATTGAATCTATTTGCCATACTAATTGTAAACAAGCAAGATACTCAATCGTCGTAAACCAAATAAATTCTTTTTGAATATTAGAGGTACTAGTAGCTTTAACACGTTTAATAAAAATACAATAACAGAAACAAAAGTGCAAAACCAGTTCAGCTTACTAAACAAACAGTGAATTTTATATGATATTTACGAGCATTTAAAATTTGAGAAATGTATGTTTGTGCTCTATTTCAGTCTCAAAACTGGCAACGTGAACACATAAAAAATGTTTGTTACCTAACAAAATTGTATTTTCGAACGAACTAAATATATTTTGGGAGTACCAATAGTGTACGCAGGTAATTACAGAATGTATAGTGAATATTCGACTGCCAATGTCTGTATATTGTTCCGTTTCAATTCTATATTTGTGTGTGTGTAAAGATACGTAAAAATACAAGTAGAATAATGTAAAAATAATAATAAATTCAAAGTTGTGAACATATATTAGTATAAAACAGATATGTACAGAAGATAGTGAACTAACAACACAAGGTAAGAAAATTTTTAAATCGGTGTCATAAAAAACATCAGCTGTTATAATGAGAGTATTATCAACGACACAATAGTTGTTTAAAAATCGTGCAATCCTCATATTAGTAGGATGTATGAAATCGTCAGTTTATACACATTGGTCGCGACATAGTAGTAATAGTTGATTGATGTTTGTCAAACAGGGGCTCGACTGATGACGGGCGTGTCGGCTTCGAGCACCGAGGGACTTCGCACGTTTGAGAGGTACGCTCAGTATTTTATTCGATGATTAAGATAATCGGTAGGATGTTAGGGAGATCCCGTATGTTGTATCATGAAACAGATTTTATTAGTGTTGTGATTTATTGGTGCTGAATTGTTTTTTTTTATTTGTATATTTTTTTACGTTTGGTTTTGTTTTTTTTTGTGAGTGAAAATTGTTGCGCTGGAGTTGGTTTTGATACGCGTCTAGAAGATTTTTTTTCATAGAGTTCCACTAATAATTTGAGTTTTAGATTAAAATTAGGCTTTATTTTAAAGTTTAGTTTAAACACTGGTAGTGATTCAGATGAAGAATTGATAGACTGGGAGTTTTATGTACAAAAAATGAAATTGACAAGAGATAGTAAAAAAAAAAAATGAAATTGAAATACTGGTACCTGGTACCTTTGGTCTTGTTGTAAGATCCCTATAAATTTAAAAATAATGATGTTTTTTCTATAAAACAACTGCTAAATCAGATATTACTGTAGTTTATTTTTCATTTTAAAGACAGCAAAACAATAACTCTAGTGGCCTTAATCACTATGGTCTCGATATTTTTGACGTCACGCGATCTTTTATGTTAGTTATGACTGATTCTTTTTTTATTAGACAACATCTTTAGTCTAGTAGTTGCAAAAATAGTCGATCACTAGATTTTAAAATCGATTGACGGCCAAAATTTATTATCAATGTATATCCTAAATATCTAAATCGATCATGATTTTTAACTGGTCATGTTAAAAAATTGGCTATTAATTACGTAAATGTATTCATTTAAATTGATAAATCGTAAATATGAAACCTTGTAAGTATCGAATGTTTAGCTGTTAGATTATAGTTTAAAATGACATATCGATTTTTTTTCTCTAGTCCATGATTGATAATTTTGGTAAGTACAAGCTGGTAGGCTGTATCTAATAATGCATGTATATTACCAATCTGCAACAGTATTGGTAATTGTTAACGTACCTATAATATAGCGTAATATGAAGTCTGAATATTCGTTAGTAAAACTAACTTAATTGAATGAGATCATGAGTGATTGGATTCTGATAATCTAATTAGAGAACTCGCGGTATTTCGTTAATCTACCTTATTAGATGACTATGGATAATCTGCAGTTGAATTTCAGTCATAGTTTTGATATTTTCTATCAGAGATTCGACTTGTATCGTCCGTTAAGTACTTATATTAGTTCTTTTTTTAGTTGTTCTCATTGTACTTCTCAAAATAGCACCATAATCGGGAATTGCACTTGTAATTATGAAAAGTGAGAGTATTGTATGCATTTATAATACTCCCACTCCAATAGCAGATATGACTTTAATATAATCACTACACGAAAATACGTAGACAAACTTAATTCCTCTTTATCAATTAAACCGCAAAGTTCTAATCAACCACCAATATGAAATACCAAACGGTGAAGGAACAGTTCAACAAATTTTCCAATAGAGAAGCAATCAACGATGGTCCTATTCAAATATTTAACATCCCACGAATAAAGCGGGAGGGCATAAAATGTGAAATTTTCATCGAGTTAACGTGCATTCAATTGCATAATGATTCCAGAACGTTCGAGAACCGTTTAAATGGAAATCATTTCTAAAACTGTCTTTAAACCGTTATAACTTTGATTTTCTTTTTGATTTTCTATTAATAATAGTTAGCTAGTTCTCTTTTATGCTGATGTCCGTCGCTTTGCCGTTTTTAACTCGATTAAAAGGTATAAGAGTCACAATTGGCTTTTTTATATTTTTCAGAACTAGGTCATTTGGAAAATAATTTGTTTGGTTTATAAAAAATTGCATTTTGCTAAACTTTGGATGTTTTAAATGTGGTTCTAGCATGAAATATTGTCCTTTTCTGTAACATAGATAAACAGGTTCGGTCATAGTATAATAGTAAGGTTTGGTATAGGTACCTATACTTAAAATTTTTCTTACACAAAAGTTGATATTCACACGCTTCTATGTGTATTCTTACCCCACAGAACAATAGTCATGAACTCATGACTCTTAGTACAAGCATTGTACGATACAAAGACAATTAATTAAATTCGTGTGTTTATGTTTATTCAGAGAACAATTCATAATACTGCACGTGCAGTCTGAAGTCATTAGAAGGTGTGTCAATTATTTTCGGTTCATTCACTATTCAGCTGTTAATTAATATAAAGGGCTAAAACTCCAAATTAACATCTGGGTTTTTAATCGTTGTCATCACCATTAATCTGATTTCGTCCACTGAAGGCAGATCTCTTGAATAAGTAAGTATTTATCATCGAACTTGATCTTACTTCTTTTTAAAAGACCGTCAATGCACTCCTGGTGGTACAAGTATTCATAGATGATGCAGATTGATTGCTCACATGATTGGTCTGCTCGTTTGACCTTTTGACTTATACAATGGGCTACTTTTCCAATTTCTGCAACATCGGCCCCTAATCGACAAAAATCTGCACAAAGGAAAGTCATACTCCTCAATTCACAGAATGGGAGTCCGTTGAAAATTTTATTTCATCATTCTTGGTTTAGAATTTCATGCCATTTTATTGTCTTTGCTTTCAATCACAGAAGACTACACATTTTCTACGTTTGAACGTCTGCAACAATATACAATCTAGCTCAGAGGTAGTAAAGCAGCGCCTCATCTCTTTTCCCACCGAACAATGGGAGTGACACTTCGTAGCGTAAGCATTGTAGGTACAATATACATTGCGCAGGTACCTTAACGTCTGGAGACAATTCACAACCTGCACTTACAATGTAAAGCAATGTTGTCATGCAATGCGAAACACTCCATGACATAAAACATAGTTCAGAACAATGACTGGATTTGGTTATGACTCACTGTCGGATTGTTAATGTCAATTGTTTAGCAAGAGATGGTTGGGGTGTCAGGAGAAAGAATAACAATTTTGGTTCCATTATATCTTTCGTGAGACTATACTAAATTAATAATAAGTTTAGCTTCTTCAGATTCAGGTGATCATACAATATATTCACCACAAGGTGACAAGTAATTTGGAAGAAAGCTGTTGATGACGACTATGCAACTGTTAATACCAGAATCAATTTTGATTCCTCACTCGAAAAAATCGAGTTCATTCTTGACGTCACAGTTCATAGTTACCAATTATAGCATTGATGAAGAACAATAACAATTAAAACAACCATAGCGTTGTGTTGTGATAAAGAGGTCGTGAGTTCATATCCTACTAACTGACATATATTCAACTCGGTCCTGTGGGATGAACAGCATAAAATTAAGCCTTTTAATTTAAACTACACATACGTATAAATTAGTTGCTGCAAGTGTATCTTCAATTATGGTGAAATGTATTCTCAGTAGGAGAGAGAAACGTAGTTCCAATCACGGAGTTTAGAATCAAATCATAACTGATGAAGAACGCTGATATAAAAATTCATTTTATATGTTTTGTTTGTTTAGCAAATAAAGAGTTCTTAGTACGATTTTGGTTGTAGGAAATTTTTTTATATATTTGATGGGGCGACGTTTGACCACTATCTTGCCTGGTGGTAAGCGATGATGCGGTCTACGATGGAGCACGTCGTCGTCCCATAAGCAACCTATTCACTCGGGCCTTGAAAACTCCCCTCAGGAAATACAGACTCTGGCAAAGAATTCGACTATATATTATATTATATGTACCTATATATATTATATTTGTACAATCTATGTTATGTTATACAACTGGAAATTCCAAAGCAAACGGTTACCAAGTCCACAATAAAGTGACATAACGTGATTAGCGAGTATCAACGTAACTATACAAATCTTTACAACTTCTTATCATGAGATTTTGATAACATCTAATTAGTTTTTTTATGATTTAATCTCCTTCTCAGTTTTTCATTGTTAATAACATACTTTATGTACAGAAACATATGTAAATGAACATTGTTATTATTTATCTCTTGGGGGCCCACCTTGATTACTTTGGTTATGTAGTGTTTAATGTTGGGTAAATGAATTCAAGATCTAAATGGTTCAAATGAGTGTTTTAAACTACAATTGACACAATATGTCTTATGAATAGAAATTATGGAATTTTTTTTAGAGATGGCTGGAAGAAGGTTCAGCGGTGTAGTGTGTTAATGCTTGCCGATGATAATATTTTATTGTTTTGTTTCAGAATTTAACACAAACAACGTCCCAGACCAGAGAACAAGATGGTGGACAAAATGTCACGGTATAGATATGCACCGCTACTGGTGTTCCAAATATTCCTGATGATCCTATACATACTGTTCACCACGTATGGAGGTGCTGAAGAAGCCAATATTAAAGGTGAGGTCTTTCTGCATTTTATAGATCTTATCATAGAAGTCAGGAAGGTACTGGGTGCTCTTCCAACCGACCGATCTATCGCAGGAGAAAGGCCTTTGGTTAGCTGTGGACGCCTTGAGGCGAAGGATAAGGATATTTTAAGAAGTTAACATTTTAAATGAAAATGAATCATTAGGGCATTGATACTTGAGACTTGTACTTTTGTCTAATATCGAGAACAATTCCAAAATTCATGCTGACTGAAAACATTCTAATTGAAAACTATGTTCTACACAAATATGTACATAATTGGACATTCTCCAGTTACACATAAATACACGATGATGACTTAATCAATCAAACGGCACATCAAGCTGAATATCCATAAAAACTGCATTAATTTTGTGCTTGTGCACTTCTGTCTATTCCATCTGGGATCAACAAGCGTGACATTTAATTGTTATTTAACACTCGTATCATGTAACAACTAATTATTTCGTTGGTAATTCGATCGCGATGATGATTGCTATGAAGTCATGTCAAGGCACCGATGCCATCAACTTTTGCATTCGCATATTAGCGTCAGTCAACGAGCCATTCAATTAATCTATATTCCATCTTTATCTGGTCGACGTGTTCAATTAATTCATTCGCGCTTCCTTCGCAAATCCATATGCGCTGTTTTAATTTATTAAACAAGAGTGTTCTGTTTTAATGAACTGCACTAAAATGTAGTTTTATGCAAATTACGTTGAATAACAAATGTACTTTATTATTTTGCTTGCAATTTACTGTAGAATATTATAATAGACATTCGTTTTAGTTTTGTTATTTTATTTTATGCGACATTTGCATCATACAGAGTTTACATAATTATGATGAATTTTCACGAATAATAATTTATTATTGATAATTGATACTTTATTTATATTTACGACAGAAATATTGACAGGAATATTTGTATGTTTTTATGATACAAATATATGTTTTTTATGATTTTATTACGTACAAACATACATAGATAAAAACTTTATTAGTATGATCTAAAACTACCACACAATAAATAGACAAACAGACATTCGTAATTCAATACAGTGTCACTAATGCTATGTAAGATATGTAGAGGGCGCCACAGTATTATGTTTCCCACTAAATTGTTAATGTCATCGCGAGCGTTGTCAATTAAAATAATGCTCTCCGTGTGAATAAGGACTGGCGTACAATTAATTTGCTTGAAATTCCACATTAATCCAGTGGAGTCGAGGCCGGTAACGAGTGGGTACGGATACTAGATAGGGCTGTCGCCATGGCATGAACAAATAAAAATGGTGTTTTATGCACTTAAAGAAATAAAGAATCTACAAGTGGAATAAGGTTGAAAAGTATTTGTGTTTAATTCCTGTTTAGTCTTGGAATATATTCTAAAAATTCTAGATTATAGCGTAATAGGTATTGCGTGGTTTTACTATAGACATTTATGATAATTACCATTTATTCTTATTATGATTTTAGACTGCCTCGTTGGCTGAGTGGTCGCAAGTGCGACTGCCGGGCAAGGGGTCTTGGGTTCGATTCCCGGGTCGGGAAAAGTATTACTGGGTTTTTAAAAAAAATCTCAGTAGTAGCACGGTGCCTGAAATTGTGCCCGTTATATGGCAATAGGCTCACCTCCTATTACCTGGGACTCATAACATAAATAGTGAAAAGTGGGTGTTACATTGTTACAATGTACATCTCTGCTTACCGCTTTAGGAATAAAAGACGCGATGTTATGTTTATGTGATTGTATTACATTCCAACGTTTTATTGATAGTAATTCTTATAGATGGCTGAAACAATGACATCATACCTTTGTCATAACTGAAGAAGGCATAAAAATATATCGGATTAGTCAGGCCAAAGATCAACTCCATTGTATTTGAAAGAAATCAAAACATGATAGATGATCTGACAATAAAAAGCCTCGTTATATTTGTCTAGTACTCTGTACGTCATATAAGATTATTTATTTGGACAAAAGTAAGCCTTGAATTTCTCATTTGCCTTTCTCATTTGAGCCTTGAATCTCTAAATTAAAAAATATTATTCGAAAAAAAAACAACGTTGCATTAGTCACAACCCTAGTATTGTTAACTGCCGGGGAATGTACCACAAATTGAATTCTCGACATATGTATGAGAAGATTCTTATTATAAATTCTATGTCTCATTTAGTGGGTCTTAGTACACTCTTAGTACAATCTCTATATTACCTGTCTATGGTGAATTACATTTATATAACTTTTTTATAAATTTTCTATGGTTTTTTTCATGGGATAATTCCGGTGACCTCACGACCTTAGACGACGAAATACAACGCAAGCGTTGTTTCACGTCATTTGTATGTGAGGCCGTGGTATCACTCCGGTCGAGCCGGCCCATTCGTACCGAAGCATGGCTCTCCCACATTTAAAATGAAAGTGAGGTGTGAAAAATATATCGTGATTAAAACAGAGTGGTGCAATGTGGTCTGCTATGTCCAACTCACTTGCCCAATGTGAAGATGAAAAGTTAGGTTAACGGAGGCCCAATTAATGGCCTAAATTAAGGCCGGTAATGCACTTCTGGTTTTTCAGGTGTCCAAGGGCAACGCCGATTGCTTACCATCAGGCGACCCGTATGCTCGTTTACCGGCTTATGCCATAAAAAAAATTATAAACCACGTTTAAGAAAACCGAATAATCTTACTTTTTTGAAGTCGGTTAGTTAATATATTAAAAAACTTCTCCTACGTGTAACAAAAACTTTTTTGAAAACCTCAGGCAATTGCGAACAACTTACCACATACATACATACATGCAGGTCTAATAGAGAATCTCATTTTTTATTTTTGAAATTGGTTAAAAGTCCTTCTGATGAAGAAAATCGGAGCCTAGCAGTGAACTGTGGAGGGCTCTAGTACTAATATCTCAGCATTGTCCCTAACAAATAACAATGCACATGAACCATTCATACATAAATATCAAAACTTACCTCAATACCCTTTAATAATATGACTGGATAATACAGAAGAAACTAGCGCCATGTCAATACCACACAAAGACCGCTGGCCTTTTTTTTTTTTTAAGGGGGGAAAATCATTGAATAACTGCTCCCGCCTGGGTAAGGCGGGAGGGAGTGTCAGACTCTTACTGACTAAAAACCACCCCGTTCCTTCTCCTGCACGTCGAGTCGGAGCCCCGGTTACCCGTTAGGTTCTCCGCGACTCCGAATCGGCATCGGCCGTATTGTGCCCCATCTGTAGTGGTCTGATGGCTCTTTGAGGCGCGCGCGGAACGCGACGCGCCGTACGCTCGGGTCTGTTTCTGGTCGGACGGGGAGCCACCCATGCTCGCCGTCCGCAGGCCCACGCAGACCGCTGCCCTTAGGAAGAAATCTGATATCAGTTCGTCAACAGCATATCAAGTTAACCGAATCTTCTTTAATCAATTTGCAACTTTACGTGTGTTGGTATAAATTTCAAAATCCGTTAAAGAAATTCTACAATTTGGATGTGTGTCGTGTACAATGTAAAATGTCCAAGGTAGTTAATACATTGCTATGCGAAGATTCGGGATCGGAATGCGGAAACTGTATTAAATGAGATGAATGTTTTTACGAGGCAATGTTAAACTGTTGACTGCCTCGTTAGCTGAGTAGTCGCAAGTGCTACTGCCGGGCAACAAGTCTCAGGTCCGATTCCTGGGTCGGCCAAAGTACTGCGTTTTTTTTCAAAAATTCTCATTAGTAGCACGGAGTCTGGAACTATGTCCGGTATATTTCAATAGGCTCACCCCCTATTACATGGGACTCTAAAACATGAATAGTGGAAAATTGGGTGTTATTAACATACAATGTACATCGGCATTAAGTGCCATAATGTGCACATTAGATTAGGGGCAGGCCAGCCTGGCCTGCACATATTTACCGAAGGGGTTTTTTTTAAGGGGGCAAAATCATCGAATGACTGTTCCCACCTGGGTGAGGCGGGAGGGAGTGTTAAACTCATACTGACTAAAAAGCACCCCGTACCCAAGGTAAAAAAAGGCGTGATGTTATGTGTTAAGCTGTTGCTCTCTTTCATTGATAGTGCTGTAATAATTGGGGTGTTTTTTTTTTATTTTCACACAGTGATTACGAATTCGTTTTTTTTAACTAGTATTGATTTTATTTCACTGCAACACCATCTATTATTGCTATTATTATATTTTAAATAATAATATGCTGCGTCGTGCCTGGTCCTGAATAAATGTTTTTCCTTTCTTTCTTTCTTTAACGTCAAAATCTATTTGATTTTTGCGATTGCAATGAGCCTGAAATGCTCAATTTATTTATCTTAGTATCATATGAAACTTTTTCTACAAACTCATTCAAAAAACCATAATAATCTCGATAATGTTCCACTTAATATAAGTCGTCCTTGCAACATTTCATAGACAGTTATTTTCATAGACACACCAATGTTTTATTAATCAAGGGAATATCATTTATATGTCAAGTATGAGTTGTTATTTAAACGGAAAGAATCCACTTACCTACAATTTGTTATTAATAAACTATGACGGTCAAGTGGTCAGAACAACGATTGTTGAACATGAAGTATCGTGTTATAGAATTGCTAAAAAAGAAAATGGGACAACCTTATTTTTGTTAAAAAGATCGAACACGAATTGCAAATGCCACTTAGCGCTTGTCTACATGTACCTCTAGAAAATCAAATTATATGAAATTGACGTAAATTTTGGCACTTGTCAGTGTCATCCCTATACGTTTAGTTTTCTACTCTCTATAGACAAGCGCTACAGTGGCTTTTGGCTAAAGGCACAGAAAGGTTCATTGAGTCAATAGACTCATCTTTGGACCAGATTTACTTGGTCGAGATATAATTTCAACTGTCTCGGGTTCGAATCCGGGTCGGGCAAAGAATTGCTGGGATTTTAAAAAAATATCACTAGTAAAAAATTTCTCAAGACGCAGTCTGGAATTGTGCTCGATATATGGCAT